GGTGAATGGGATTTGGGAGGGGTGCAACCTTGGGCCTGGGTTATGTAAATCTCCAACAGCCTCCTGGCAGCTGGTGGACGGGGCGTCTCATGCCTGGATCCTGGATGGCCGCCATGTGCACATGGTGAGCAGTTCCCTGGGCAGCCAGTGCACCATTTGGTGCCAGGCTGCGCCTACTGGCCGCCCGGCTGGGAAGCTCTGGGGATATGGTTCTTTGAGTCACTGCTTAATTAGCTCCAGGTTGAACCCATTGTGCTTCTTGGACCTGAAACAGGCAGTAACTCTTCCTTTGTAAAACTTGTAATCAGTAATAATGCTGAGCACCAAATACCAGTCCATACAGAAGCTATGGCTTGGGGCTTGTCCTGCAAAAGTAGCTCCAACAGCTGGCTAATGTGTCAACTGATAAGGGAACAGAGTAGATCAGGCACGACTGAGCAAACCTTAGCCCACAAGTAAAACTAGAAACCAGGAAGGAGCAAAGGTCATGCCGAGCTAGGCTCCTGTACCTACTGGTCTGCAGGAGCCAGGAACGCTAAGCCACAGTGTCTAAGGCAGAGTTCGGGGCAGGGGAGGAACTGTGCCAAGCTGAGTCAGAGCATCCACTGGCAGGCAAGTGATCTATGGCTGGGAACAGACCCGGTTGGGGAGCAAAGGGGACAACCCTAGCTGGGCTGAGGTTCCCACCAAGGGGCGTGTGGCCTGGAAGGGGGGCTGCGTTCTGATCTGGAAACAGTTATAGTCTCCCTTGGCACAAGTGTGGACTGGGATTGAATGCACCGAACTGGGCCGGACCCCAACATCCCCTGGTGTCCTGGAGGACCAGGGCAGATGTGAGATGGACTAGGCAAGGTCTCAAACCCCTACTGAGCCATGTGTGAGCCATACATGGGTATGGACAAACCATGGCTGGGCTGGAACATCCAACAGCAAGAACCAGATTGGGTGGAAGGCCAGTCAGGAAAAGCCACAGTTCCTGCTATGACAGGAGGTGATTGAGTAGGGTTGGCTCATGGACCCACTGGTAAGTGTGAAACCTGGCATTGGGAGAGGTTCTGATGGAGGAGCCTGGACAACTCCTCTGGCAAGACACAGACCCGGCAGGTAAGCGCAAGAAACAAGATAGGAAACAGCCCAGAAAAGGCCATGGAAAGCTACCCACTGACATACAATTGGCAGACGTGGGGGCAAGACCAGGCTGAATCTGTCCACGTCATCCACTGGCAAATCCAGGCACCAGTGTGGGTCGAACCAGGTTCGGTCACAACAAAGACTAGTGCACAATATGGAATGCCGAGGTGAGGTTGCCTGTACCGGAAGGGACCACAGCACCCAACCAACATGAGAACAAGAAAGGAAGTGGGCAGAGCCGGCAGGGGAATAAGGGAGGGTTCCTTTGCTGGACAGCTACTTCCGCAGGAGAGCATAGGCTGGGATGGGGGCAGACCAGACTAGGCAGAGCTACCTCACCTGTGTGCCCCCTGTGGACTAGATCAGGGAAAAGCTGGGCTGGGCGGATTATTCCTACTGGTGCAAACAAAATTAAAGTGGGTGAGGGTTGTTTGGGCTTAGACGCAGCATCAACTGGAATCTGGAAGTGGGAGAGGCCTGGGAGGGAAACAGTGGGCTCATCCCTCTTGGGCTACCACTTGCACAGGAGGACATAAAACTAAGATAGCGGCTGGGAGTTGAATGGGGTGTGGGACAGACTGGATTACTGCTATGCTTACTGGCAAACCAGGGTAGGGGGTGGGCCTGGTGGGGGTTATTGTGGGTCGCTCCAACTAGGCTGCAGCTCCCACTGGTTTATGTGAGGGCAGAACCAGGCTGGACTGCAACACCCATTGGTTCCAGTGGAAGTCGGGACTGAAAACAGAACCAACCCAGGCATCGCAACCACCAGCTGATTGGAGCAATGGACGGTGCCAGGCCCTGTACTTGTTAGCACATACAAGAAGTTTCTTTGGAGATCTTCCTAATCTAAATGCTGGACTCAGAACCCTAACGAAGAAAAGAGAGAAGACAGAACAGGGCAACCAACCATCTCAGTCATGATGGACTATGTCAATCAGTAGATTTTTCAAAGACCTCATAGTGCTTGGAGTGGCAAGATTGACAGCGATTCATAACTGTGGCAAGATCAAAACCACTTGAGCAAGAACCTCAGAGCATGCCCTACATCCGGGACCTGGGGAGGGTGGGAAATTGGGTGGGCCTTCTCCCTTAATACCCCCCTTTAAACATGAAGGTAACAACATGGAAAAAAAAATAAATAGATAAATAAATATTTTTCAAAACAGCTTTCTTGATTCATCCTCACTAAACAATGACCAACAACAGTACAAATGTTAGTCATGAGCGACTGTTGATCATACTTGACAAGCAGATATATTCTAAAGCACTTTTAAGTAAAGCAAAGTTTGAGATGAGCAAGACATTTCTGAAAGAATGATTCCACAATTTCAAAAGCCAAAACTTCAAAATTCACCTGTGGGACTATGCCTTAAGTATCCAGAGGCATCCTGAAGCCTTTGCTACTCCTTTAACATGTTTCGCTTTATGGAGCCTTGTGTCTCTGCTGTTTTTTGGTTTTTTTTTTTTTTTCAGATTGAAGTAGTCTCTTGCCTCCTGGGAATTTGTTCAACTCCAATGTTCCTGTTTCCTGGGATGGCACAAGAACAATGCAAATTTTTCAACCTGAATTAAACCCTTCTGTCTCCAAGAGACCATGCCATGTTGTCACTTATCTTCATATTGCTCTGAACACATGATATCATTCCTATTCATGAATGTGTCTCTGTTCCCTAATGGACTGTAAGCTACTGAACGCAATGTGCCTGATAAATGTCTAGACAACTCTAAAGAGGGACTAATTAAGATAAAGGATGGGGGATCCTTCTTTCTTTCCCTCTTTCCCTTCACCTCTTCTCTGTCACTGTAGTATAAGCTCAGGATCTCTTTCATAGTCTTTGTCTCTATAGTTTGGAAAATGTCAATTCTAAAAACTATAATCACATATTAGAATATATAGCATTTTAAATTTCTTATGTATATTATCTTGGAAACAGCAGGGACTTCTAGTTTTGACTCTCCTGAGTCACTAAAGGGTTATGTGCTTGCATCAATTTACACATTTAATCCAGCTTTCTAATGTAAAATATTTAGACATTGCATGTTCAACCTCTTCCTCTGCTCTAATTCTATAGTCTAAATTTGAGGAAAAAAATACATTTGGGAAAAATATTCAATTATCCCCCAGTTTTAGACAAGAATACTTTGGGGTTACAAAATTATAAAATAGTTCATAGTTTTATTATTATCTTATTATTTCATTATTATTTCCTCTTTCCAGGCTCTGATTTTCCTCAATAACTCAAAATCAAATAGTAAGTTCTAGAATGTTTTAATATATCTGCAAGCTAAACAAATGTGGATTCCAGTTTTGACTTCAACATACAAAATACTTTGTTATTTTTTTCTTTTTTAAATTTTATTTTTTAATATTAGTTACATAGTTAGTAGAGATGCATGTCCATGTGGACCTCTGAGTAGGATGGGGAGGGTCCAGGTATGGAGGAAGGTGAGTGAGGAAAATGTTTTAGTTCTTTTTTTCTTTCTTTCTTTTTCTCCTTCCTGTGCCCAGGGGGGAGGAAAGGGGGACGTGCTTCTTGCTGTCAAACTACATCAGCGGGGAAAGAATGGAGACAATCATTTGATGTCGCCTTAGAGATCTTGATGTACAGAAGAGTGTTCTGGGGATGCTTACTGAGTGGTCTTGATAGTTCTGAGAAATTATCAGCACCAACGTGGCTAAGAAAATCTTTCTAGGGACTGTTGACTGACCTGGTCTAATTCAGTGTATCCACAGACCTAGATATTTGCTATAAAACCTTGCCAAGTGTTGTTTAACCTATTCTACTTTCTAGCTATTGATGAGGTAGTCGATGTTCTCTGTTGGTTTAAGCAGGCTGTTTTGTCTACGATCATGTGCACCTGGGCATAGTCTCCACTGCATGGGCATCAGCAACTGAGCAGTCCCACTCCCAACACATGCATACAAGATCGCATATTTTGTGATTTTCCTTAAGGCCAGAGTTTTGAGTCAAGTAATCAAATTGAGGAGTCCTCTAAGAAACCTCAACTGTAGTGTCCTCAGACTTGGTGCTTGTTTGCACCAGCTAGAGCAGGGTCAGGTTCAGTCTATCACCTGCAGGGTCAGGTTCATGTCTATCACACATATTGGTGAATGTAGCTTCCCGGTCAGTTCTGTTATCTCACATGAACCTTTGGGTATTACCGCCTAGCCCAGCCCAACCTGCCACTGGATTGGCCCTCACATACACCTGGTTTGTATGTCCTGGGAGTTTCTGTGGCCTAGCTTGACTCATTACTCATCCCATCTGGCACTTAGCTCAGTCCCGCCTGCACCCAGATCTGGCCCACATGCAAGCTGCCAGGTACTATGACCCTAGCCCTTGCTCTGGTGCTCCCCAGTGGGAACTATGGCCTATCAGGGGAATCCTATCTAGCCTGGCTGGCTCACACCCATTTTGGTTCTTGCATGCCTCAGTAGGTGTTGCACCTACCCAGCCTGGTGTACATGTAGGCCAATGGGTGCTATAGTACTGCCAAGCGTGGTCCACCCCCAGTCCCAGTTCTCATGCTCATTAGTGGGGTCAGTGGCCAGCAGAGGAGTCCTCAGATTTCTCCTGCCAGGGTCTTCTCTAGGCTCGGATCTTGTGCATTTCAGCATGTGCTTTAGCCTAGCACAGCCCAGCCCACTCACAGCTCCAAGTCACATGTGAACTAATAGGAATATGATTCATTGAGTACTTTATAAACATTGACTTGCATAGGAATAAAAAATGAATTCCTTCAACATTTATCACAGAAAATGACCAAGCTTTTGATCACAGTGCAAAAGTTTAATATTAATTGGTTTTGTGTTGCATTTACAAAAAACTGAATATGATTTCATTCATCCTTTGCTCTTTCTAAAGGTAATCCATGAAAGTAATGAACAGAAGGATGAAATTCAGCATGAGAACAGGAACATCTCAAACAGTGGGCATCATCAAGTGGCCAGAGACAGCGAGAAGAACATTATCGGCCCTGGCCTATTCTCCATTCTGCCTCAGGCTGATCCTGGTGCTTGTTCTGATCAGCAATATGAGAAAGCAGTGGAGAAAAATGCAAAGATGTTTTCTGACTGTGTGTTTGACAGCTCATGCTTCATGGAAGTTTCAACAATAAGCAAGTCTTCCTCAATGTAAAAATAAACTAGTAATTAGAAAACATCAGTAAAACCTTAGTCAATAATAATTTATGAATTCCTAATACATAAAACCAATTTCACCAGCTGCCCACATCAGGGACTTTGGGATGGCTGGGAGGCTGGGTGTGGCTTTTCCCTTTATCCCCCAGATAAAGGAAGGAAAAAAGAGAATGTCAAAACAATGGGTTCACTCACTTTCCTCTAGCCCTTGACCCTTTGCACCTTAATCAAATAGTAAAAACTATCAAAAATAAAATTTATGTAATTAAAAAACTAATTTTATTACTTTTACACTCTATGATCAACGCTACGAGTCAGCTACAGCAAATAATACCTCATTTTACTGTTACAAGTAAAAAGCTGGCAGAGCTACTCAGGGACTCAGATCACAGCTCCCTAGCCCTAGGCAATGACAACAAGATGCTCATGCTCCTTCAAACTTACCAGTAATGTAGTTCTAATTTTCATTGCAATATTAGGATGGCCGAGTCAAACTAAAAACGTATTCAAGATTAAGGGACACTACTAAAACATCAAATATAAGAATTTTTGGAGTTACAGCAGGCACAGAAAGAGAAGCTGGGCTTAAAGATGTATTCAATGAACTCATCAAGGAAAACTTTCCTGATATGGACAAGAAATGGGAAACAACATTCAGGAGGGGAACCAAACTCCCATTAGGATTGACCAAAAGGGATCTTCACCATGACACATGATAATCAAGCTCTCATCAGCTGAGCATAAGAAAAAGATCCTTAAATGTGCACTTAAAAAAATCTATTAACATGTGGAGGAACCCCCATCGTACTCCTACTGACCTCTCACAACAAACTCTACAGGCCAGAAGAGAACAGAGTGGTATATATTCCTGCTTGTGAAAGGAAAACATGTGAGCCCAGAATACCTTAGCCATCGAAGCTTTCCTTTGTCTTTCAAAATTAAAGAAAATCCATTCATAGTAAAGCTCAAAGAATTCACCTCTTCCAGGTCTGTTTTACAAATGATACTTGAAGATGTCCTCTTGACACACAAAAAAATAGCACCTACCAAAATCAAAGACAAATGTGGAGAATATCCCAATAATATGACAACAGAAGACTAATCAAACAAAGAACAACCCATTGCTAAAATGAGGGAACCAGATGACCATCAATCCATTTTAACCCTGAATGTAAGTTGCTTAAACTCATTAATCAAACATCATAGACTAATGTACTGGATACAAAGCCAAAACCCATCCCTGTTGTCCTCAGGAGATGCATCCAACCAACAAAAATCAGTGGAATGTATATCTCATGAATTTTTTTTTGTTTTATTTTCGTTTCTTCAAAACATTCTTTTCTCATTAAATTCTTCACTGATTCATAGGTTAGCACCATTTTCTTCAAGAAGTTTCTTGATTTTTCTTTTTCATTTGTTCAATGACACATTGAGTAGCATGTTATTTAACCTCATGATGTTGTAAACATTTTTAACTTAATTCCTGTTGATTTTGTTTATGACTTTTCATTTATAGGGGTGTATAGTAACTATATAATAGATACTATGATATTCAGATGTGATGATACAGTGCAGTATTGCATCTGTACTTTGAGACCAAAGATGGATTCCCATTGAAATCGTTAAATTTATCTTGAGAATAGGATACTGGACTCTCTTTGCCATTGTCTGTGCCACAATATCAAGATATATTTAAACAGAATAATGATAAACTTATGACTGTTTATGAAGAACTCTACTGTTTTAATACAGGGGAAACCAGTGCATAGTAAAAGTATGGTGATGGGTAAGGGTAATCCCAGAGTCTATAGATCTGTATCATAAAATAATGAAGAATAAGAAAAAAGATTTATTTTTATTGGAAATACAGATTCACAGAGGGAAGGAGAGACAGAGAGAAAGATACTTGGTTCTCTGGCTCATTCCCCAAGTAGCCACAATGGCTGGAGCTGAGCTGTTACAAAACTAGGAGCCAGGAGCTTCTTCTCGGTCTCCCATATGGGTGCAAGGTCCCAAAGCATTGCACCATCTTCTACAGCTGCCCCAGGCCACAGGCAGGGTGCTGGATAGCAAGTGGATCTGATGGGATATGAACCAGTGCTGATATGGAATCTCAGTGGAACACGATGAGGCCCACTTCCCAGCTTTTTCTGAGACCTTCACTTATTTCACTATGTTAGGTTACTTGTTGAAATTCAATGTCAGGAATCTTTGTTAATAATAGAATTACTAGAGACACAGAGAAAAGGCTTTCAGGATATAACATGTTAGAACATTTGTCATAGAAAGAAAGGAAATTTATTTATATATTTTTTAAAGATTTATTTTATTAGGGGGAGGGTTGGGGGGGGGGAATCCCAGTACCTATAGAACTATGTCTCATAATACAATGTAATCAATAAAGAAAAAAAAAGATTTATTTTTATCGCAAATTCAGATATACAAAGAGGAGGAGAGACAGAGAAGATCTTCCGTTGGATGATTCACTCCCAAAGTGACTGCAACAGCCAGAGCTGAGTCAATCTAGAATCAGGAGCCAGGAGCTTCTTCTAGGTCTCCCATGTGGGTGCAGGGTCCCAGGCTTTGGGCCATGCTCAACTACTTTCCCAGGCCACAGGCAGGGAGCTGGATGGGAAGTGGGGCACCATATGGGAATCCCAGCATGTTCAAAGTGAGGACTTTAGCTGCTAGGCCATGCCATCAGGCCTGGAAGTTTATCTTAAAGCTTGATTATGATTATGGATTAATCTTGTGACAAAAGTTTAAAAGTGGCAATTTATTTCACCAATGTTCCTTTTTTATACATTATCTGGAGTTGGTACTAAAGAAGAATGAAATGAGCAAAACCATTTAGCCTCAAAAGGAAACATGGGCTAGCCTTGCAGCAGTGTGTATTAAACCCACTGCTTGGAATACCGTATCCTGTATCATGTGGGTGATTCCATTTCAGTTCCAATCCAGGTTCTTAGCAATGCTCCTGGGAAGCAGCCAGTGGAGTCTAACGTGTTTGAGTCCCTGCTTCCTTTGTGTGAGGCTGGATGGAATTTGCTGTTACCAGCTTAATACAATCCAGCCCAGCCCTGGCTGCTAGAAGCATTTGGGCAATGAACCAAAAAATGGAAGAGCTCTTTGTCTCTCAGTGTCATTTCACCTCTAAGAAAACATTTAAAAGAGGGAGGTGAAGTAAGAAGAGAAAGAGATTTTTATAAATCATACTTTCAGCAGGTTGTTTTCTCTGTCAATTGTGTTTCACCAGTTGATATGTTAACTCTAAGTAATTTATGTAAATTTTTAGGCTGATTTTAAAGCTAGTTGAGAAAACATACTAATTAGTCCTGTTACATTCAATACAGATGATAATCTTTTTACTAAGAAATTTTTAGGAAAGATAGGGCCAGGCATGGTAGGCTGGTGGATAAATCCTAGCCTTGAATGCTGGGGCGCCCCTGTGGATGCTGGTTTGTGTCCTGGCCACTCTGCTTCCCATCCAGCTCCTTGTTTGTGGCCTGGGAAAGTAGTACCAGATGGCCAAAGTCTTGGGACCCTGCACCCACGTGGGAGACCTAGAAGAAGCCCCTGTCTCTTAACTTGCTTTGGATCAGCTTAGCTCTGGTTGTTGCAGCCATTTTGGGAAAGAACCAGCAAAAGGAAGATCTTTTCCTCTCTGTAAAATCTGCCCGATAAAATCTAAAAAAAAAAAGAAAAGAAAATTAATATCCTTATGGAAATATTTTGACCTTTCTCTCTTCCCGGTACTGAATTTAAAAAAACTAGTGTGTTAAGTTCAAAGCCAAGAGAGCAAAAACTGTAGTTATATTTCATTATATTCTTTCACAGGCGTTTTTGTGATTTACCAATGAAGCTTCAGAATCTCAAGGGTTTGTTTGTTTTATAAAAGACCCTGTGAGGGTTCAGTTATGTTTCAAAAGGAAAATTCTCTTGGTAGAAAATGATGCATTTGTTCTTGAAAATAGTAAAGTTGAAATGCATCTGACTAAAAAACATTCTTTATTATTATTATTAATTACATTGCACACGGTTTCATAGGATTTCCCCCTACCCCTCCTCGTGCCCTCCCCCCATGGTGGATTCCTCCACCTTGTTGCAGTATTACAGTTCAAATTTAGTCAAGACTCTTTCTTTGCAAACATACACCATGCATAGAGTCCAGCATTTTATCGCCCAGATCAATTCAACAGTTTCTTGGGGAGACCATCTCTGGTCTGAAGGTAGAGCTGGCAAATATCATCCCAATCAATTGAAAATTCCTACAAGTCTACCATTATTTTGAATTAAAAAGTAAAAATATCTTTAAAATATTTGCTAGTTAGTATCCTGAAAATTCTTAAAACCATAAAACAGATCGAAAATGTAAAGAGTTGAGTAATACTGGATATATTTCTTCAGAAACTGTTTTTAAAGTGGTATTTATTTTCATAGAATGCAATTTATTTCATTTGAGGAATATAATTCTATCTTAATATTATTATCAGTTTGTGGTTTTCGATGTCTTCAACATTAACATATGAAAAGCAAATGACTCATCTTGGGGGACTCATGGCTACTATAACTTACAAGATTAGTAACAATTCCTAGCGAAAAAAAAATTACTTATGATCTTCAGCTGCCAGGTCACATTGCCAGACACTTCAGGATTCTTCAGGCATTTTTTTCTCTTTCAGGGAAGTGTAAAATAGTAGAGGACTCTTAGTATCCATCGATGCTGTAAGAAGATTGTGACATTAAACCGAGATAGCCAAGTACATGCAGACCATTCTATACTCTCAATCTCTGGTTTTCTTCTCCATTGAGAAAGTTTGACTAGCCTTTCCGATCTGTGGTGTACATTTCTGCAGCCACTAAAACCCTACATCACTCCTCAAAAAATTGATCCCAAGGCCTCAGCTTTGTGACAAATATATGACTTTTTACACATCGCAACTAAATCAGTTTGTGATTCTTTGTCTAAAGAATGTGGAACTAAGATGCACAGGCCTGTATTGGAT